GATGTGCTTTTCAACCTCAACAAGGCATTTGATGTGATGCAGGTACTCAGTAAGCTTCCCTCTCTAGTATACTTGGGCTTAAATTATTGCGGAATCCAAAACATTCACTTTCCTCGTGGTCTTATGAATTCCACATTTTTTGCAAGAATTCAATTCCTGGATCTAGGGAATAATGAACTTAGAGGACCAATTCCTGATGCTCTACACAACATGACTGCTGTTAGAGTGCTTGATCTTTATGGAAACTACTTTAATTCCACCATTCCACTGTCGCTGGTTAATTCTAAGAGTCTTGTTGATCTCAATCTTGGGTGGAATGAGTTTGAGAACATTGACGGTGGGATGTTGTCAATATTAAATAAGGCTTGTTCTCTTATAAGGTCATTGGATTTGTCTGGAAATTCATTTCTCGGTGATGTGTTAGGAAGTAACAAGAATTCATCAAGATGCCTCGTGTACCATTTAGAGTACCTAAGTTTAACTTCTGGTGGAATTAGTGGTGATTTGCCAGATTATTTAGGGCAGCTGAAGGGTTTGAAGGAGCTTAATCTTGCTGGAAATTCATTTTCTGGTCCAATTCCATCTTCACTCGGGGGGAATTGTCAGCGTTGAGAAGTTTACATCTTGAAAATAATCAATTGAATGGGACCATTCCACAATCCTTGGGTAGACTGTCAACCTTGGAATCATTATATCTGAAAAATAATGCACTGAAAGGGATCATTCCACAATCCTTGGGCAGACTGTCAGCCTTGAAACTATTAGATCTTTCAAATAATGCACTGAAAGGGATCATTCCACAATCCTTGGGGAGACTGTCAGCCTTGCAAGAATTAATTCTTTCAAATAATACACTGGAAGGGATCATTCCACAATCCTTGGGAAGATTGTCAAGCTTGAATTATTTATATCTTTCAAGGAATCGCCTAAACGGGACCATTCCAAAATCGTTAGGGAGATTGTCAAACTTGGAATATTTATCTCTTTCACATAATCTGTTGACTGGGTCCATTCCAGATAGTCTTGGGCAACTTGGGAACCTTTGGGCATTACATGTTTCTTCCAATTCCTTGCAGGGTATTGTTTCTGAACTTAACTTTGCCAACCTTTCCCGCTTGAGAAGTTTGGACGTTGGTTCCAACAACCTGAGTTTCATAGTCAAATCTGATTGGATCCCTCCTTTTAGTGATCTCTACTATGTTAACATGTCATCTTGTGATATTGGATCTCAATTTCCTCGTTGGATTCAAACGCAACCGTATGTTAGTGTACTAGACTCCACATTTTTTGCAAGAATTCAATTCCTGGATCTAGGGAATAATGAACTTAGAGGACCAATTCCTGATGCTCTACACAACATGACTGCTGTTAGAGTGCTTGATCTTTATGGAAACTACTTTAATTCCACCATTCCACTGTCGCTGGTTAATTCTAAGAGTCTTGTTGATCTCAATCTTGGGCGGAATGAGTTTGAGAACATTGAAGGTGGGATGTTGTCAATATTAAATAAGGCTTGTTCTCTAAGGTCATTGGATTTGTCTGGAAATTCATTTCTCGGTGATGTGTTAGGAAGTAACAAGAATTCATCAAGATGCCTCGTGTACCATTTAGAGTACCTAAGTTTAACTTCTGGTGGAATTAGTGGTGATTTGCCAGATTATTTAGGGCAGCTGAAGGGTTTGAAGGAGCTTAATCTTGCTGGAAATTCATTTTCTGGTCCAATTCCATCTTCACTCGGGGAATTGTCAGCGTTGAGAAGTTTACATCTTGAAAATAATCAATTGAAAGGGATCATTCCACAATCCTTGGGAAGATTGTCAAGCTTGAATTATTTATATCTTTCAAGGAATCGCCTAAACGGGACCATTCCAAAATCGTTAGGGAGATTGTCAAACTTGGAATATTTATCTCTTTCACATAATCTGTTGACTGGGTCCATTCCAGATAGTCTTGGGCAACTTGGGAACCTTTGGGCATTACATGTTTCTTCCAATTCCTTGCAGGGTATTGTTTCTGAACTTAACTTTGCCAACCTTTCCCGCTTGAGAAGTTTGGACGTTGGTTCCAACAACCTGAGTTTCATAGTCAAATCTGATTGGATCCCTCCTTTTAGTGATCTCTACTATGTTAACATGTCATCTTGTGATATTGGATCTCAATTTCCTCGTTGGATTCAAACTCAAAAGGCTGTTGAAATACTAGACTTTTCAAACACTAATATCTCTGGAGGTTTCCCAATACAGCATCACTACATGAACCTTTATTATTTGGATCTCTCTACCAACAAAATCAGTGGAAAGCTTCCAATGAATATTGCAGACAAGATGCCTCGATTAAGTACTCTACTTCTTCCTAACAACCTAATGAATGGGCAATTGCCAGACTCGTTGTGCAAACTGGATACTCTAGAAGTTATGGATCTTTCAGAAAACAGGCTATCTGGGGAAATGCCTCATTGTTGGAGAGCTAGTCAAAGGATTTATCTTATAAACCTATCGTCCAACAAGCTTTCAGGGACTATTCCAAATTCAGTTGGTTGCTTATCTTTTCTAAAAAGGTTGCATATTGATAAAAACAATCTCACAGGGGTGCTTCCTCTAGCCCTGAGAAATTGTAAAGAGTTGGAAATTTTAGATCTTGGTGAGAATAAATTTTCTGGATCTGTACCAACCTGGATTGGAGAGAGCCTTTCATCACTGCGGGTCCTCAGGCTTCGGAATAATATGTTAAGCGGAAGCATTCCTTCACAACTATGTCAACTCGGTGAATTGCAAATCTTGAGTCTTGCTTATAATAACTTGAGAGGAAGAATCCCACATTGCTTCGGCAACCTTACTGGAATGATAATGGAAAAATTCCCTAGTCCTATATCAAAACAAGCCGTGACATCATCAAGATCAGAACCAACTGCAAATCCACCAGAGCCTCAAGATGAGGATACAAGCTGGAGCAGAGAGAAGATCCGAGAGGTCATAAAAGGAATATATCTTGAGTATACAAAAATGCAGCTGCAACTTCTTCAATTTATGGACCTTTCAAGCAATAAACTGGATGGAGTTATCCCAGAAGATCTATGCCGTCTTAGTGGATTGCGTGGTTTGAATTTGTCACACAATCATTTCTCGGGAAATATTCCCAACAGGATAGGGGAATTGAAGTTGCTGGAATCTCTAGACCTCTCAAATAATTCTCTTTCTGGCTCAATTCCAAGCAGCATGTCAGCCTTACCCTCAATAAGCCACCTCAACTTGTCGCATAACAAGTTGTCAGGGAAGATTCCAACAAGCAATCAGCTCCAAACTCTCAACGATCCATCTATTTATGTTGCAAACCTTCAACTCTGCGGGTATCCACTGCCTAAATGTCATCATGATTCAGTCCAACCTCCAACAAGCACTGTCCACAAAGACGAAGATCATGAAGACGATAAGAAGGAAAAGATATTATTCTACTTTGTTGTATTTGTTGGCTATGCAACCGGTTTGTGGGGAGTTATTGGGACTTTAGTTTTGAAAAGGAACTGGAGACTCGCTTATTTCCGCTTTGTTGACAGCACCAAAGACCGGATAATTGTGGCGGTTGCAGTGGAAGTGGCAAGGCTGAAGCAGAGGATGCAGAGGACCAACACTAAAGAGTAACTCATGGAGGTTACCAAATGTTTGCCCCGTTTGTGAGTTCCAATAAATACATCTCTCTTTTTCTGCACTTGAGTGTGGTTATTAGTTGTTTTATTGGGATAATATGTTTGACACTATCACTATGTAATGTTGTATTAGTTGTGTTTTGAAGAATCCTATTGGGAATATTATGCTTTCTGAACTGTAATGTTGTATTGGCTATGTTATTATAAATGTTCTGCAACTTAATTTAGACATAACTCTATTGGAAGTAACCATGCATGTATATATCCTAGTGTTATTGTCACCGATTTTGAATCCTTCAGTATTATTTAATTTTTAATTTAAACAAGTTATGAAACACGCAACAGACCAATATCCGTAACTGAGATAATTGTTAGTAGTTAATATCCCGAAATGTCAAATGCTATATCATGGTATATTAATTTAGTGAATTTGAAATATCTTTTCTTAAGTCTACCCAAATATATATATATATATATATGTACACACATATACATTTATATATATATATATATATAAAGAAAAATGGAATCATATATGAAAACCAAAAAAAAAAAAAAAACTAGTTTCTTTATCTATATGCATATTGAAATTTTATATTAAAAGAAAATTTTGTCTATGGCTGCTTATTTTGATTTTCCCAATACTTATTCTGCCACATTTCCACTTGTTCAATCAAACTAGTCTTTTTCTGAATAAGTGAATATAGAGAGGAAGGATTGTACGAAGGTGGCATGGTGCATGGGCTACTGTCTGCAGGACCCTTCACCATTGATTCCATCATGAACTTTTTCCCAATCCCCTCTGCTGTGCAAGCCATGGACTCGGAACAGAATTCGACTGCTTTTTCGGGTATACTAGGCTTAAATTTCAAGAGCTTGGCATATTCATTTAAAAGATGAAACATGTAGTCATATACATACTCCATCTTCAAGTCGTCCTGAATGAACCTGCTCGCCGCCTTTCCAATGGATTTTGCCTGATAACATCCGTGAAAACAACAGAATAAGAAACAAAATTTGGAAATCATACTTAAAATTTGTAGTTCATGTCAGCTTCTATGTTCTTCATTTAGAGTTATCACACCTTTCCCCTTGTAAATATTTGTAAGAGATCAATATTGACACTATAACTTGTGGGAAGAGATAAGCATTAGTTTGTGTACTCGCTTACAGTCTTGGATATAGCATTTCATTTTTCTTCAAAAACAAGTTTCGTAACCCAATATTTCGAATAACAGACCATAGTTGAATGTTTGTGATTTTATTCACCTTGACATAAAGCGAGATTAAAAGCATATCATTCTTACCTTTTTCTTATGAGAGTTTCCCCAGTCAACAGCAAACTTGATGGATCTACACTTGTCATCATCCTTGATAGGCCAGTAATGTTGCATCGGTACTAAACCTCGAGTGAAGAAATCGTAGTAATGCGGCTTTACGATTAAGGTAACAGAATCACAGGCGAGAATGTATTTCTCACTAACAGACCAAGCAGACCCTTCAATGTAGATCTTATACCTGCATGAATTTTCAAAGGATGAAGATTTTTAAAATTTGATCGTAGCGAATTACTTACAATGGTAGAATGAAAAATGGGAAGCAACAAAACATAGGTAGTCAGAGTTCGGCTAAGCAGAGGAAGATCGAAATTCAGATTTTTTTCGTCTTTTTACCTATGAATGCATTGGTTGGCCAAATCTGATTGCTTGTACCCTTCCTTTGATTCTTTAAGCCAATCCTGAAATGATCACAATCAGCAAGAGAGGCAATGAGCAAGAATTATCTTTTATTGCCATTAATTTTCTCTAGACATGACACGCGGATATTAAAATTTGCAACCTGAGCGTAGAGACGAGCATTCCAGTCTTGTTTATCGGAAACATTGCATTTGAGAAGGTCTTGTCTGGTGGCGGCAACAACTGGATTTCCCTTCCAGTAGGCATAAGCTTCTCTCTCCACCCATTTGCTTTTCTTGTTTCCTTCCTCCAACTCCTTCAACAATGCCTCCCATGGTTTTATGTTCGTCTCTGGCCTATACACATTCCACCATACATGTCAGTTCTACTGCTTACCAAGAAAAAAAAAAAAAAACCTTCACTTAAAAAAATAAAACTAAGGGCCCGTTTAGTTCGCTGATTCGAGTTTTTAATTCGAGTTGAGATGTGATTTTAAGTAAGAGCTTTTTACTGTAACAAATATAATAATTTTTTATATTGTTAATAATTAGAGAATTTACCCTCAAGACTGCGTTCGATAAGAGAGATGGAGATGAGGAATGAAGAGAGGCAGATAATAAAAAATTTGAGAGATTAAGAGGATTATAATAATTTTTTATGTTATTTTACAGGAGGGATGCAGAGTTAAAAAAATAGATAAATAAATGTTTGTTTAATTATTATATTGTACTTTTTATTAATTTTATATTAAACTTTTTAAAGATAAAAATCTTTTTAAATATCTTTAATGCGAACATTACATGGATCCTTCAATTAGTGGAGGGATGTAAATTAGTGGACTCGGATAGAGAGAGTCTCTCTCCATCTCTCGTTTCCTTCTCCTTCTCCTCCCAACCAAACAAGAGATTGAGCATCTTCCTCTATCTCTCTCCCTCCACCCCTCTCCCTCCCTTCGTCTCTCTCTCCTACCAAACATACTCTAAGAGTACATTGATCTGAATTTTTACCACATATTCTTAATTAATATCCTTTTAATAGTATAATTATTTGATTAAAAAAGTTATTAATTAAGAGAAAGTGATGAAAGTCTTGAGCCATGCACTTTTAAGGCACATTTGTCTCCTTTCAAAAATATACATTCGATTTAGCTTTTTTATTACATTTTTAGTTTAGGGTTCAATTGAGGATTTAAACATTAAGCCTTGATATTAGAATTAAACCAACATTACATCTAAACTCTCTAAATAAATTCAGCAACTAAATTAATTCATCATTTTTAAAATATCTATATTACTGAACATCATTCATAAGTTTATCCCTTTGTTGATTATTATATAGTGTATTATTGGTGGATGAAAATGGGAAAAAAATGAATTTGAGAGGAAAAAAAAAAAGTCAGTTTAGATATCTCCTAGTACTTACCAACCCCAAAACGACCAATCAGGGAACACAATATCAAGTGTGCTATCATCCCCACAGTAACGGAAGAGTGGTGGTGGTGTCGTGGCATCGGGCCCACTGTATGCTTTTGACAAAACGACTGGCCAGTCAACGCAATCAAACATCAGCTCCAAATCTGGTACTCTTCCTGGGTATTTTCGTAACAACTGTAGGATTCCCCACAGCGTAAAAACGTCTCTCGTCTGAAACGCCTTTTGAAAGGTCTCCACGTAAGCCTTGCCATTCACTATTACCAGCCTAAAATTGGCCGTACGTTTGGCCCTCTCCACCATATCCCTAGATATCCCTGTGTAGGCCCACGGTCTCAAGTCTTCGTAGATCCATCGGAAGTAATCCGGACACGTGGGAAGCAATGGACGGTCTAGATCATCTTGCTTGTTGTAAGTAGTAGGATAATTTGCAGGGCAGGTTCGTGTGGGGCTGTATGCAGAGCAGTTCAGTGGGATCCCGATCCTCTGGCGGGACTTTTCGGAGATTTTGGCAATAGTTGGACCAGCTAGATTCTAACACGAAACATTATGTGGAAGAAAAGTCAACAATTTTGCTACAGCATGTGGTAGGAATTAAAACTCTACTTGGAAGTCACAAATATAATTAATGTTATAAACGTGGTTTGCTTAATCACGGAAAGACAGAGAATCTAATCTAGCGAAATAACCTCCGGCAATTATTTGTACTGTTAAAGAGATGGAAAACTCTGGAGTCATAATAATTACCTTCAATATCCCATCAAAAGAGAAAAACATTTACTTATTTATTGTTTAAATTCAATAAGTGTAATAAAAGAATACCCGAAATAAAAGAAATAAGAATAATTTACTTGTGTAAACGCAATCTAATTCTAATCTAATGTTAGCATGAGAGTTGCATTTTTGTCTTTTTATTTCATGAGGTTGAACATGACATTATATTTCTAACATTATGTTCGACACGTACAGTAAAAAGAAAAAGAAAATATGTAAAAAAAATTATTAAGCAAAAGGGCAAAAAAAAAAAAAAAGAGGCCCAGCAAGATCTGTGATAATTTACTACGCCGTTCAACACGTGGCGAGCAATGACTTCCTCGTTCTGAAAAGGAGGAAAGACGTTAACCGATGATCACGGCGTGTGATATTCGTTCAATATTCTTCAGAAATTTTCTCGTAAAACCAAAACGACGCCAGCTCATGCCGTTGCAATTTTTTCCTTTTCGGTTTTGTTTGAAACGTTGACGCTATCAAACTCGTAAGCCAAGAAAATAACGCTGAATAATTAGAAGAACAAATGAAGAAGAAACTTACAGCGGTGTTGAGCAAGCGCGTGGAGACAAACGCGCCGACGAAGAGGAAGAACAAGAAGACGAAGAGTACGGCGGGGGACTTGGCCGAGGATTTGAGAAATGGCCGCCAGATCGTGTCCGTAAAATTACTCCACTGCCCCCACACGGTCGTCAAATGCCTCTGAAACCTTTGCATGTTTTCTCTCATTCTTCCCAACCTCTTCTACTGCCTTTTTCTAGTAATAATCTGACAGAATGTGCCCAGTTAGTTAGAGGCCAAATTGATCAAGAGATTCTGTGAACTGAGTCATTTTTGAAATTTTGAGTTTTCACGGATTTGGATATTCAGATGCATGCCGAAAATGCCACTCTTATTTTAAGCTTGATTTGTGTTTTTTGTAATGAACTAAGAGGGTGTAAAAAGAGATTATATAAGGTGTAGACAATAAAATTCGTGTTAGATTAGCGGAGGAAAATGACCTTTTTGAAAGAATATGCACTTTTAGCTGATAATATCAAGCTTGGAATGGACTAGGGAAGAAACGGATAAAAGAATGGAAATGATCATTAGAAAAACAAGAAAGGGTTTTTAGCTCAGAAAAGGTTTCTTAAAGAAAGAAAGAAAGAAAGAAAGAAAGAAAGAAAAGGTAAGAGAACACAAGAGAGAGAGGGTAGGAGAGAGAGGAGAAAAATGTGAGTGTGAGCGGAGAAAGAGAAGTTTACCGAAGGCGGAAACCTCGTGACGTGGGGTTTCTCATTTCTGTCCCGTTTCTTTCGTTACTTTTTTTCTTTTATTTTATTTTTCTTTGTTTTAACATTCACATCACAACTATATATCATAACTAGCACTAGAGAAGAAAAATAAATAAATAAACTTAGACGTCCATCAAGATAGAAACGTATGAATCAAAATGCCAAAATGAGAGGGTCCCCAATTTCGGCATCAGCTATGGCTCTATGGTCCGCTACCTGTCATGTGTTGCTAATGGAGTTTCGACACATGTTTGGTATCTGTTTATTGATTTGAAAAATGCTAAATAAGAGAAATGTTAGTATCATTTTTTTAATTACTATCTATATTTATTATTTTACATGTAAATTTTATTAACATGATATATTTTATTTAAATAAAAATATTTGGATATTCAGATGCATGCCGAAAATGCCACTCTTATTTTAAGCTTGAATTGTGTGTTTGGTAATGAACTAAGAGGGTGTAAAAAGAGATTATATAAGAAGGTGTCGACAACAAAATTCGTGTTAGATTAGCGGAGGAAAATGACCTTTTTGAAAGAATATGCACTTTTAGCTGATAATATCAAGCTTGGAATGGACTAGGGAAGAAACGGATAAAAGAATGGAAATGATCATTAGAAAAACAAGAAAGGGTTTTTAGCTCAGAAAAGGTTTCTTAAAGAAAGAAAGAAAGAAAGAAAGAAAGAAAGAAAAGGTAAGAGAACACAAGAGAGAGAGGGTAGGAGAGAGAGGAGAAAAATGTGAGTGTGAGCGGAGAAAGAGAAGTTTACCGAAGGCGGAAACCTCGTGACGTGGGGTTTCTCATTTCTGTCCCGTTTCTTTCGTTACTTTTTTTCTTTTATTTTATTTTTCTTTGTTTTAACATTCACATCACAACTATATATCATAACTAGCACTAGAGAAGAAAAATAAATAAATAAACTTAGACGTCCATCAAGATAGAAACGTATGAATCAAAATGCCAAAATGAGAGGGTCCCCAATTTCGGCATCAGCTATGGCTCTATGGTCCGCTACCTGTCATGTGTTGCTAATGGAGTTTCGACACATGTTTGGTATCTGTTTATTGATTTGAAAAATGCTAAATAAGAGAAATGTTAGTATCATTTTTTCAATTACTATCTATATTTATTATTTTACACGTAAATTTTATTAACATGATATATTTTATTTAAATAAAAATGATTATTTAAATAAAAATAATATAATAAAATTTACGTATCAAATAATAATAATAATAAATGACAAAAAAAGTGACGTTATAAGCAGCTCAATAATTATTAATGACATTTCAAATTTGATTGTATTCTTGAATTTTCCCCTTCTTCAATGAAATTCATTTTTTCCACCCAAAAATTGAAAGGTCTTTCACTTTTTATCCCCACCTTTAGATTTCCAGCCCCTCCCTACCGACAAGTACTAGCTGGGAACCATCCATAGAATTCTCAATGTCAAGGCGTAATCACACAAAGAAATCCTCTTGTCTTCTTCTTCTTCCTATTGTCGTATTATTTGTTCCTCCTTTCAAAAAGACAAATGCAAAAATTGACATCTTCACAGAAACTTGGAAACAATCTTCACAACTTCTTACACTTACTGAAAAGAATTCACTGTTTTGTACGATTTTTTTTTTTTCTGATCTCTCTGTATATAATTGGGTTTTGTGTTTTCCTCCCATGATCCCTCTTCTCTGTACTTCCTTCTTAATTTGCCAGTGTACATTGAAGTACGGATTGATATATATATATATATATATACACACACATACATATATATATATATATAAATATATAAATATATTTGATAGTGGAAAAGTAGCTGGCTTTGGCTAGTAAACCGATGGCATTTTGATTTTTCTACTTTAGTGGAGTTTTTATGATCTATAATGGGTAGAACATGTTTCGCCGCCAAAAGAAAAGAGAATATAAGTGGCTTTCCTCTACCTCTATTTGATTCCCCATAATTATTACATTGTAGGCCTCACGATGAATAAGAACTGAGTTTGTTAAATTGAAATCAATTATTTTACCCACTTCGTGCCAACCTAACCAAACTTTTACCTCAAATTGGAATACGTGGATTCCAACCAACTTTCTACCAATTTGACCAATTTTGGGATGGAGTTCTAATTTCTAAACTTTTTTAGTTAGTACAACTGTTTCTTCACAAGTATAGCCATTCTACGTTTTTACTGGAGATATTTGTAATTTGAGTTTTGTTATTCCACAAGTTTGGTGATGCATGTGTGTCAATCTGAAAAAAAAAAAAAAAAAAAAAAAAAAAAAAAAAAAAACAGAAAAAAAAACTGGGTTTCACCGTGTTGTATCTAATTGCGGCGATATATTTAAAAAAAAAAAAAAAAAAAAAAAAAAAAAAAAAAAAAACCTACCACATGTCAAAAAGCAAATCGATAAATCAAAAATGACTCACTCGATCTGTTTTGTGTCAATTTTAATACACTACTAAATATGTACCAATGATGACGAGTAACAATTTTTTACTATAGGCCTGTGTTGATTGTGTCTCCGCCAAACTTTTTTCTCGTTTTTCTTTAGCTTGATTTATCACTCGTACATCCATTTATTTAATACAACTTTTTTCAGAATTAGATTATCGTGATAGATGCATCTATTTATTTTGATAAAGATTAATTATGGTAGATATTATGTTTGGTGCAACGCCTTTCTGCAAAAGAGTACCAGAAAATATATTACATGCGGGCAAAATAATTGAGCTCTAATTAACACTACTTTCATTGAACTATGGAATTTGTAAATAGTAAAACCTAACTATAAGATAAAACTCTCCATGGTTACTTACTTTAAATCCTCTGGAAGAAAAAAAAAAGAAAAAAAAAATAAAAATAAAAATAAAAAAAAAAAAGTGGAACCAATTTGTCCACAACAATTGTAAACTTCCGTATGAAGCAAAATCTTTCATTATTAGTACACTCACATATTCTTTATGCAACAAAACATGGAGATTGTAGGAGCCACAGCTCTTTTATATACAACATTAATTATTGTACTCGTGTTAATGATAGAAATTTGAGTAAAAGTTAAACCTGTTTTACGTCTAATTAGTTTCTCGATTAGTTTGATTCTTCATATCAAGATACTGTAATAAATACGATTAAGCAAGACCCGAGAGTCTTTAAAATTCCAAGCTAAGTAGAGTTGATGCTCTCTCTTTGGTGATCCTTCACCATATTTTAATAAGAAGAAATATTAACATTACTTTTTCTATCACTCTTTTGTCGGTACATATCTTCACTGTTTAACACGTGGACTCCATTAACATAATATGTGGACTCCATTAACATAATATAAAAATAAGATAGTAAAGTTCACTTGTCAAATAATAAATATAGAGAGTGATAAAAAAGTGATACTAGCCTTTCTCTTTAATAAGAGGACTGAAGATCGGAAGCTCTAGCTCACTTAGATATGATGAACTTGTAGTGTGTACACGTATATAGAGCTTAAAAAAATTCCTTAAATGATTCTACGAAATTAATAAAATGTGTTTCTTTCTTTTGTCTTGCCTTTTTTTTCCACAGGAAGTCAAGCCCTTAAAAATATCTCTTAACAATACACGTAGAGTCATATACATCTACTATGTATGATTTATTTAATTTTTATTTTTTTATTATTAATTTCTCTCGTTTTCTAAAGATGCTGCATGCTAGTCATTTTTCAAACATTTTGTCTTTATAACTGTTGTTTGCCTGTATTTTTATGTCGTTTTATAGGGCATTGTCGTAATGTAATATTTTTCTCATCTCATTTAGTTATCGTTTTTTAAGTTGTTTTCGCTTGCCTTCTTCTCAGAAGTGTCGTTTAATCTTTGTGATCCTCTTAAAATGCGTAGTTGTCAACCAGATAGCGTCAAGAAGCAGCTGTTCGTTTTCATTTATGTCGTTTCTATGCGAACAGGTCTTTCTTTGCGATGTTGTCGTTTTTCTATCTTTGTCGTTTACTAGTTTTTTGAGGTTTATTTGAATGGTAGTTTTTCCATATTGTTGTCGTATTCTGAGTAACGTCTGTAGACCTTAATTTTCATTTTGTGTCGTTTCAAAGATTGATGTCGTTCTCAGCGTTAAATTTTTTTCCCCCAATGCCGTCGTTTTGTTAACTATATTCGCTTGATTATTTATTGTTATTTTATTAAGTCCTTTCTTATACTTTTTTGTTTCTATTTAAGAATTTTATAATCTTTTAGATTTATTATATTTTTTCTGATTTTTTTCCCCAAAGTAGCCTGACATTTTTATGAGGTTATCATATATTGTCCTTTCACAAAATGTCGTCATTTGCGCGTAAGCTATCTTTTTTTTTTTCCCGTTAGTCGTTTGGTTTTCTGAGCTCAGGGATCTTTTATGATACTAGTATGAGGGATTTTTTTTTTTTTAAATCTCATATGAAATTCTTAAACATGATAAACAATATATTAATACATAAAAATTATTTCTAATTATATTTGTAAGGAAAGTTCTAAAAATGAATATATGCTAATTCAACATATAATTTGCTTTCAATTTGTGCATATATAGTATTTGCATCTCCAAAAATAGGGATGCAAACATGGATAAATGTAACCAATTATTTTTTTATAAAGTTAAATAGGAAATGAATTGGCATTGACACTTATGCCCCTTTGTTGAAGAACAAAACTTAGAAACGGAGGCATTCCCTCTTCTATTAGATAGATGTTTCCAGTACGTATATATTGTCACTTGTCAATGACTATTTAGTTTTTTTGTTTGTTGTCGTTTCTCCAAGATCAGAGATGCAAGAACAGGCTGGCCTAGCCCGTTATCTTTAGACCCACGCGGGCCGGACCAGCCCGTATAAGAATGATCTCGATCCAACCCACACCATGTGTCAATTTTACGTAGGCCAGGCTGGGTCACGCCGCGGGCCAAAATGGGACGTGCCATAGGTCTTGAATGGACTGGCCCACCTAAGGCCCATCTTAGCCCATCATGAGTTTAAATGGGTCAGCCCATCTAAGCATGTAATTTTTAATTTTTTTTATTTTTTATTTTTGAATTTTTAAACAAGTTAACAAATATATAAGTTTGAATAGTCAATGAAAATATGAAAAGAAATATTTTATTTATGATTACTTCATTAAATAAAAATCTTTCGAAGGAAAACTCAGTGAAACAAAACCTTAGTAAGAAAAAAAAATACAATCAAGATAATTATACATAAGATGTTTACAAACTTACTAAAAAAAAGAAAAAAAAATCTTCTGGGCTGGGCCGGCCCATTATGGGCCAAGGGTTTAGGGTTTTTCTTCTTGATTTATTTTATCAACATTTTTAGCTGTAGTTTAGCCTCTTTTCTCTTAAAAGCTAAAAGTCTTTGAGAAGATCACAGAAATTGGAGAAGTTAAGAATCTGATTGTGATACATTACGCCGTGAAGCACCTTTGTGGTATTACCAAATGAATAAGCCGTACGTAAACTAAACAGTACTCAATCTCTAATGATTTTGACTATTAGCACACTAAATTAGGCCTCGTTCACTTTGCTGATTCGAGTTTAGAATTCGAGTTGAAATATGATTTTATGTGAGAGCTTTTTACTGTAGTAAAAAAGTTAAATGTGATTGTTTGTGAGAGCTTTTTACTGTAAAAAAACTCGAATTCTAAACTCGAATCAGCGAAGTGAACGGGGCCTTAACCTCTCTATTTGTGCTTAGGTTGTTTATTCCAGTAGCTTTTCTCCCACACCCCCACTTGCTTAAATGAGTTTGATTTTCTTCGAAGAATGGCATTGAGTGATGGAGGGTCGTACGGAGGAGGCATAGCGCACGGGCGCCTACGAGGACTTTTCACCAAGGACTCCTCCATGAACTTTCTGTGCAGCCCTTCTTGTGAGCAAGCCAACGTCTCCGAACAGACTTCGACAGCGTCTTGAGGAATGGTAGGCTTGAATTTCAAGAGCTTGGCGTATTCATTCAAAAGATGAAACATGTAGTCATATACATACTCCATTTTCACCTTCTCTTGCATGAATTCACTTGCTGCTTTTCCAATTTCTTGTGCCTAATGAAATCCATACGAGTGATGAAATTTGTCAAAATAGTTATTTTTGAAAGATCCGATATTCAAGTCACGCTCTTAAATCTACATAATTTGGCAGATGATCATTCTTAAATACAATTTTGTAATAAAAGATTCACTAATTGAAAAAAATCACCTTTTGCTTGTGGATGTTTCCCCACTCAACGGCAAACTTGATGGATTTGCATTGGTCATCGTCCTTTATGGGCCAGAAGTGTTGCATTGGCATCATACTTCTAGTGAAGAAATCATAGTATCTGGATTTCACATATAAGGTAGGAGAATCACAGACAAAAATGTATTTTCCACTCACAGACCAAGCCCGTCCTTCAATGTAGATCTTATACCTACATGCATTAAATTCGTGAATTGGTCATGATGAAAATAACAAGCAATGACAAAGAGGAAAATCAAAAAGCAGAAAAATGTAGTGGTCAATTTCTTTAACCTATGGTGACATTGGTTCGCCACATTCGTTGCTTTGAACTCCGATCCCAATTCTTCAGTCCAATTCTGCGAATTTAACACACACCCATAACTTAATATTAAAATTAAGTTTTTATAAAATCTCAGTTGTGCCGTCATCTAATAAGGAAAAAAATATATAAATTCTCACTTCATTATAGAAATTTATAATTGTCCCAAATGTGTCCTCACAAACAAATGGTCCCAACACTACACATAAGAGAATAGGAGACTAATGTTAAATTGACCTTGGTCGAACTCGTCTCAAAAGCTAGCTTAAAGAGAAAGGGTGTCCAAACCATATATAGACATTCCAACAGTCCAATAACTTAAAGATATGGGACAAATTCACAATCCAACAACTAACATATATCACAGGGCTAAAAAAATAAAAAGCTCTTGAAATGAAGAAACTGGTTTACTAACCAGGGGATAAAGAAGAATACTCCAGTCATGTTTCTGCTTGTAGGAGATATTACACCTCATGAGTTGGTGTCTTACTTCATGAACAAATGGATTTCCCCTCCAATAAGCATAAGGTTCCCTGTCAATCCATCTGCTTCTTTTGTTCCCTTCTTTTATATCCTTCAACAAATCATCCCATGGCTTTATATTGAGCTCTGGCCTATAGGAAAAACGACAATAAACATTAATTAATGCATATATATAGTTGCCAATTTGCCATTAAATTATATCTTAAAATCTCATAAACAAACAAAGTACTCGCCTTTAGATACTGAGGTCTATAGCCTGAATCATTTCAACCGTAATCAAAGAATAAAGAAGGAATATTTTTCCTTAATACAATCACGAGAGATTAAACACTGTAATATAACCAATTACAGTACATTTTGTATGCTTTCTCATGAAGACGTATGGCAAAACGATACATAATTTAGTGACAAATTTAAAAGCGACAAATTTCATTAGCCAGCAATTGGTCCACCTAAGTAATTGTTATCTTGTTATTAGTCATATTGCCATGTGAAAACAATACGCTAATTTATCTAACCTAAGTGGCACCCAGGTTGACAGATATATGTGTGCAACTTCATTGGGTAACATTTTTGTATTTCCTAAAAAGAAATGAACAAAGAAAAATTCAAAAACACTAACCAACAGCTTTAGCATTTTCATCTTCTTCCTGGTTCCTCTAATTTATTTAAAATAACAATCATGTCGGGAACAATTATTTATCGTTTATAAGTTAATATCATATTGAAATTATAGTTTTAACAGAATTTAATAAAAATCTATAGTCTTAAAAACCGTGTCTCTTTTTGTGTGAAAAATAAAATAAAATAAAAGTTATAGTAGATAAGTCATTTTAAAAATATATATGATAAATAAAATATAATTTAAAATATTTATGGTAATAGCACATGTACGGTAAATTATTCATTTTGCCATAAATATCCTCTGCAAATGAATAATTGCTTTAGCACATACACTGTAAATTATTCGTTTATGTAGCAAATCTGTAACGTAAATTTACCCCAAATATGCTATGAAAATGAATAATTTTCTTTTTTCCATGATATTTTAAAATATGATACTTACTATAAACATTTTCAGGAAAAAAAAAATGTTATTTAGTTGTTTCTCCCAAAATAAAATAAAAACCTGAAAATAAAATTTCTTATGGTGTCTTGTTTCTTACCAACCCCAGAAGGTCCAATCAGGGAAGGTAATGTAGTTTGTGTCGTCACTCCCACAGTATCGGAACAAAACTAGTTTAGGGAACAACAATGGTAATTGATCAGTACCGTTGGCCGCATCAACCCCATTTTCATCAAACTCGGGCCAATCAGCACAATCAAACATCAGCTCCAGATCAGGCACCTTTCCTGGATATTTCCGTAACAACTGTAGGAATCCCCACAGCGAAATAACGTCCCTCGTCTGGTACGAGTCGCGGTACTTCTCCACGTAAGCCTTCCCGTTGACTATTACCAGCCTAAAGTAGGCCCCCATGCGGGCTCTCTCCAGCGACTCCCTCGTGATGCCCTCCCGGGCCCACGGCTTCAAGTCCTCGTGGATCCATCGGAAGTACTCCGGACACGTGGCGCCCGGTGGCTGCTCGTGATCTTCCTCTTTTTCGTCGTAGAGGGTGGAGCATGTTCCTGTGCAGCCGTACACGGTGTAGTTCAGTGGAGCTTCAGTTCTATGAGGGTACGTGTCGAATTTTACGGTGGCTATCGCTGGTCCCTGAGGTCTTCTTCTTCCCTGTTGAAGTCAATAAAGAAAACGGAAACACAATCAAAGGAATTCTTTTTTCAAAAAAAAAAAAAAAGAGTAAGAAAGAGAATTATTTTTCTTTTTTTATTGTACCGAAAAAGAAAATATAAGTACTGTAAACTATAAAGAACAAGCAGTGGGGTTGAGTAAGAATTCTCAATTTTCATTGAAGAAAATTGTTTTTTTTTTTTTTTAAATACATTGGTCTTGCATCCGTACTTTTACACATGAACTATTCATACTAGAAAGTTCTAGTAGTTGCGGGAATAGAATATCGTTACCATAAGCCATAAAATGTGGAGTTTAAATCCTCTCATTTAAGTTAATAGAGAAAAAAAAAGAAAAAAAAAAAGAAAGAGAAAGTTCCAAAATTAAAAAATAAAATTAAAAGAAAAAATAATATGAAGAGTGAAGAGCAAGAACCAACAGTGGGGCTGCAGAGCAAGCTCATGGAGAAGTAGACGCTGATGGCAAGGAATGATATGAAGAGGATGAGAGATTTGGAAGTCGTGAAACGACGACGGATTGCCCATAGCCCCTGCATGTCGCTTTTTCTCATGTCTACTTCTCTCTCTCTCTATCTCTCTATCTATCTATCCATACATATATACATATACATATATATATATATATATAGTTCACTGATAAAACATGTGAATTTCTCAGAACCAAAATATGAGTGGTTTCATAAGAGGGCTTTAGCTTCGCTCACTTAGTAAATATTGGGCTGGGGCTCTTCGCGGTTGACCAGATCAAGGGAATAAATTTGAATTAATGAAGTTTTTGGAAAGAACGATTAATACTCTGTGGGGAAAAAAATGAAAAAGATACGATGATGTTAGCGTTAACAATAAGCTAATCAATCGAGTTATCGCAAAAAATATGGTTCTCCATGTACATATATGGAGAGAGAGAGAAGATGCAATTTTTGGTTCATATTCGTTCCTAATCGGTTGAAAGTATTTAACCTATTTCCAGTTACGTGCAAAATTGTTTTTTAGGAATGTTTTGCTTTTTTTTTTTTTTTTTTTTTTTACAAATATCCTTTTTTGCTAAAAAATGAAAAAAAAAAAAAAAAAAAAACATTAAAAAATTATTAAGAAAACTGCAACAAATTTCCTTTGTCTCCCTAATAGACACCGTCCTTTTTTAATGTAGATACCCTCTATACTTAGTTGAAAGATCGAGAAAACACCTACATATGATTTAATTGGTCCCGGTTTAAAGGAATTTGGATATAAGGCATCGTTCATTTTGCAGATTTGAGTTTTCAATTCGAGTTGAGATGTGACATTTTCTGAGAGTTTTTAACTGTAACAGAAAAAGTTAGATGTGACATTTTCTGAGAGTTTTTAACTTTAAAAACCTAAAACTGAAAACTCAAATCGGTAAAATAAATGAGACCTAAGTGTTTTTTTCGATCTCTTCATGCAAAACTATGTTGGAGAGTTTCAATAAGAATAAACCTAAAAATTCGGTGTAATTTTCTAATTCTAGCAAATTAAAGGAAGGGGTAGGAGTTTTTCTCTTTTTTTTTTTTTTTTTTCTTTTTTGTAATTTTTAGGTATAGGAGAGTATCTAGAAAGGGAAAAAAAAATATATATATATATATAGGGGAGGAGTACTTTATGAACATTTACATTTTTATTGTATCATTTAATTTCTTCATTAATTATTTTTCTACATTTTTTTATGGAATATACATAGATTGTTTCCCTTATTACCGTATCTCGTCAACATGAATGGTTAAGGAATAAATAAATTCCATCTGCGCAAATCCAATAGACAAATGAGAATGCTAATTAATTAGGAGTTGATCTTACATATGGTTAACATTCTTTATTGATTGTATCACACAACATGATAGTTTATTTCTTCGAATATTTTTCCTTTTCTTTTTCAGAAACATATAATTCCTCAGCACCATAGCCTTTGTTGTAATGCAATTATTACTATTTACTATGATCATTGTGTTCTCAAAGAAGCCTACACGGCTACTTTTTTTTTATTTTCAAACATATATGTGACATAATAATACGTTCTATGATATGTACTCAATTTTGAAGGGACAGAATGCAAAAAAGTTTTCTTGTGTGTTGCATCACTCATGCTTTTTCTTTATGTCAATATGTCAATCTTAGAACTTTCTCAACTTTTCAAGAGAATATCTCTGATTTGTACTTTGTATTGAGGTAGAGAGTATGTGTTTTTTTTTTTTTTTTTTTTTTTTTTTTTTTTTTTTTGTTATATATTATTGTTGGTAGAGTATGTGTTGCTGATCTGTTATGCACATCCAGAAAACTGGTCAAAAACCCATCAGATCTTTACTGTTCAAGGGTTCTTTTATTTTTTTCAAAAAACGAGAATTCTGTGGTTTAGCAAAAATTATTGTTAGTAGTACTTCGCAATTTTGTACCATGTTAGAATTAGAAAAATATAAATTTAATAGAATTAGATGAATATTCAGGTACATAATTTTTTTGTATACTACAAATAGATATTGCCTTTTCTATTATAAGAGCTTTTACGATAAGGTAGATCTCAATTAAAATTGAATTTAATAAAAAGATATACAAAATTAATAGAATTTAATGTAAATCTAACCATTTAAATCATAGTCAATATATTCCGTAGAATTCTTAACCTCGTCCATTTCACCGATTTGAGTTTTCAGTTTTAAGTTTTTACAATAAAAAGCTCTCAAAAAATGTCACATCTAACTTTTTTTCTACAGTAAGAAACGCTCAGAAAATGTCACATCTCAACTCGAATCCGCGAAGTGAACAAGGCAGGTCTCGTTTATTTTACCGATTTGAGTTTTCAATTCTAAATTTTTATAGTTAAAAATTCTTAAAAAATGTCACATTTAATTTTTTTCTATTACAGTTAAAATTTTTTAAAAAATATTATATTTTAACTCAAATTAAAAATTTAAATGTTCGAAGTGGATGAAGCTTGGAATTATAACGGTTGCAAACAAATATCATAACCTTGAATTGTAAATGGTCCCACCATTATGGTGACCAATCATAGATAACAGAAATCCTTCACAGAAAAGCAACTTTTCTTTTTCTTTTTCTTAGACATGCACAGTAGCAGCCCTAGAATCTGACTATTGCTCGTCCAAATTGCCACTTACCGTCCCAACATCTCTCTGGTCTAACAATTGTTCTTTGCCCTTTTTTTTTTTCTTTTTTTTTTTTTTTTTTTTTTTTTTTTTTTTTTTTTTGTACCAGAGCATATTCAGTAAAGCGGATTCAGTCTTTTGCTCTGTCCTAAAAGCTTTAAATAGTGCTAAAGCGTGAATTAACTTCTTTTCTGCGCAAAGTGCAGCCAAGCACAGGAAAAACAAAAGCTACTAAACGTCAGAGATATATAGTCTGGAAAATGGTCATCATCACTCAGAAAAACGCACTTAAATTAAGGTTATATAACAACTGTTTTAAACCAGACCAGTCATTTGATTTGATGTATTGATAAGGTCGTTTTTCCTTCTCCTCGGTAAAATTTTGAGTTTGAATCAGTCCGACCGTCACATCAAATGTGAATAATTCATTTTGTGAAAGATCTACGTGCCATGCAAAATGTACTATTTACAGCTCGTTTAGTTCGATAATTTAAATTTTTAGAGAATATTTAGTAGAAAGATTCGTTCCCTGATTCGAATTATGATTCGTGGTTCGCTATAGTATTTTTTCTTATAAAAAATTCACGTAAATCGAAAATAATTTGAATCACATGGTTTGAATCCTCCAACCAAACGTCTTCTAATTTGAGTTAAGATGTAATTTTATATTAAAATTTTACTATATCAAAAAAGTTAGATATGACTATTTCTTAGAGTTTTTTACTGTAGTAAAATTTAAATTTTAAACTCAAATCGGTAAAATAAACAGATCCTTAGGCACCCCTTTATTTTTAAGAATATTTTCTAGTACGCGTAGATCATGTTTTTTTAATCGTTAAATCTACATATTTTTTTATTTTTACGTGATTTTATACATATTTAACGAATAAAAAACTTAACATACCGATATGTTAATTACGTTAATGTACAGAAAAATGCTCCTCTTATAACTCTTTTCTTTATTAAATTGTTATTATATTTCATGCTGAATTGACTAAAAAGGTCGACACTCGACAAGGTTGGAGAAGGGAGGTTAGGAGTGGACTAATCAAAATGTCACGTTTGATGAGTACAAGGCCCTACATGTCATATATAAAATGGGGCTTAATGAGTAGTGTTTGTTATTAATAATTTGAGAAAGAGCCTGGCATATGGCATAGGAAAATTGTAATTAAGAGAAAAAACAGAAAGTAGAGAGAGAGAGAGAGAGAGATTAGCTTTGGATTTGGCATAACGCACAACGAAGTCACACTTTCCCACTCCACGCGTGAGTTCACTTACTCATGCTCTCTCGGATTTCGAAACCCAAAGGCTCCTCTATCTCTTTTTAGGCCACTCAATATATATATATACATACATATATATATATATATATATATATAT